GTCTGTGATGGAGCAGGAAATTGAGCTCCCAAGTTCTAGGCTGGTGCCATAACCACTGGAGCATCCTTCCACTCTATAGCAGTCACAGGGACCATGGAGTGTAAGTCACCTCAAAAGGAACAGAAGAGACAGGGCCTTACTTCCACACCCCTACCTAGGGGAGCTTGTCCGGGGTGGAGGAGGTTGCATGCTCCTAAGGTGGACAGAGAACATGCTTCATGTGTGTATCAAGAAGCTCCATTGGTCACAATGCCTTCCAGTAATCCTGCTGTAGCAATGCAACTCTGCACTCCTTTAACTCAGGGCCTCTGCCTAAAAGACACCATCTGGCTCTTTGAATTTATTGAGCATTATTATCTATAAAAATTGTGCTTCAAGGCTTGCGTTATTCATTCTAGTAATTACAAAGTACAATTTCCTAAAGAAATGATTAAGGAAAAGAGACTGAACCCCAACACAGTCAATTTGAGAAAACAAGGAGATTTTCTTACAGTGAATCTGGATCAGGGTCAATAAATGGAGTAGCACCAAATGGATCAATGTTTGAAAGTAACATTTTGCTGATAATTGAACTCCCCGCAATAGAGGCAGCTAATCCAGCTCTTAAACCTGAAGGAGAAAACACAGAAACAAAACAATATTTGTTAATATAACGCATGCAATTCTGAGAGATAGTATTGTCTATAGCCAAGCACAGGATGGACAGGAAGTGCGCTTTCTCAGACAGCTCTGCTACTGCACCTAAGTTCTTACCTACATTACCTTTCTCTTCCAGTTTTGGCCTCTCTTGAGCAGAAAGGCAACTGAGTTGAATTCAGTGGTGAGGTTCACTGTCTACCACTGGAGAAAAATATCACAATTTCAATCCAAGACTACGGAGGTGACAGGTTGCACAGTAATCACCTAATGCCACTGAAGGTTACCATATTTTTCATCTCTTAGTTCAGTCACCCAGTCTCCAAACTATTTCATTACTTCAGGCTGGTTTTGGGAGGAGTTGGGGGGGGGGCAGGCTTCCACAGTGGGATCATTGATCATGCAGCCTATCAGCTCATTTAGAATCTTTGAGAAATGCTTAACTCCTTAATTCGGCTTGATAAATGTACGTTCAACAGGGAGTTCTTCCCTTGCCAACAGGGAGTTCTTCCCTTACACAAGAGAACTTCTCTGCAAAACATGTAAAGCCACCACTTTGATCTCCTAGACAGGGAGGAAGGGGTTGAAGGCAAGTGAGAGAAGGACAAAGCAGACAGAACAAACAAGTATGGGTGAAAAAATGAGGGCAAGGGGACTAGAGAACAGAAAGACAGAAGTCAGATGGGATGGGGAGGAAAGAGAGAGAGACAGGCAGGTGTAAGAACACAGAAATACAAGTTAAATGAAAATAAATAAGGAAGACATAAGAGGAGAGGCAGGCAGGGAGAATTTGATTAATGAGCTAAGAAACAATTCTTGTTTCTACCATGGGAATGGTCAGAGCCTGATTAGCTTTGCCCACTGGAAAGTTGGCAACCCTGCCATGCCCATTTTGGCTAATATCAAAGTAACATGCACAACTATGTTTAATTAATGCAGATAGAAATTTGCTTTCAAAAGCTTTTAGTTAAAGTGATCTACAAACAGTACATGCTTAGTTTCAATATATATTGTTAATACTGATAATGAAAGTTCATTAAGCCAGTGTTTTAGCAATGCTTTCTGGTATACATTTATACTTTGGGATGTGTACAGATTTCCTAACTGCTATTGTTGCAAAGTACCTTTTTACAGTTTAATTTATATTTTTACTGACAGGTATGTCCCCTTGGCATTTCATTCAGTCAAAAGATCATTTCTTAACTGACTCTGGCCCTTAGCCTCTTATTAGGCTAGCACAGCCTTCATCCACTAGGGGAGCAAGGTTCCTTTGACTCCACGATGAACTCAGCCCTCCCATTTCTGCTCCTCATTCCCCAAACCAAGTGCAATGCTTTTGTAATGTGTCTGGTGCTCAGGACAGTGACCAGAAGCATTTTCAATTAACATACATTCTCTATGATACCACACAAAGAGGTTATGCATATTAATTCACTAATATTTGTAAAGTTCTTTGACATCTCTGGGTGGAAGACACTATGTAAGTGCAATGTATTATTATTTAACAACTAATTGTGGCATATAGCAAGATACTGAAAGAACTAATGGAGTTCAGAATCATCATTACCTGGGCAGATTATCCTGGTGTTAAGTACAGGGAGGTTTTCTTTACCAGCTGCCACAGCTGGGGCAGAGAAAGAGCCAGTATGAGAGGGGATGCCCCGACTTGTTTGTCGATCTGGAGATTTTGGTGCAGCTTTAACTATGCCAAAAAAAGAAGAAGAAGAAATAAAGTTAGAACTAAATATTCCCCCACACATAAATTGTAGATACAATTGCATATATGCTTATCTAAGATTCAGAGCCTCAACATGTTGTACAAGCATGAACTATTAATCTAACCTATTAACCCACTTTGAGATCTCTGGAGAACCAGCAAATATCTGTATTGTTTTGTATGAATATTGTGTGTCCTTCTGTGTGTTTGCTTGTGATGGGTTACTTGCTATGGAGTTAGATCAAAAGGAGTTGTTAAAGAAACCAAGCAGGAGAGATGAAATAATGCACTAGATAAGAAGCACCCCAGCAAATGTTCAAACACAATAACCAGGAATATAGCTGTGAAGATGTAGCTGTTTTGCCAAGGCTGAGACTCTAGAGATCAAAAGACACACATCTGTTAAAAGATCTGCCTTGCAGAAAGGGAGTGGGAAGAAAAGGTTGTCAACTGCTGCAGGCTGACACAGACTGACAGAGAGTCCGGTCCTGCTGAAAGCACAATGTAACTTGGTTCCCAAGAGAATGCAGGACACCATAGCTAAGTCATGTCTACTGAGGGGCTGAGAAGGAACGCCAAGTGTAGTTAAGACAGTTAGTATATAGGTATGTTATTTTAAATCCACTTCTTGGAGTGCACCTTTGGCAAATAAATTACAATTTGTTTTAAAGAAACTGCTTCTGTGTTACTACATATTATTACTGTCCACAGGCTGCTGAAGGGAAGCTCTGATAGGTGCCATGCCCATGGAGACTGCTAGATATCCCAATTGGCAATGTGGGGGGCGGGGGAAGGGGTTATCCCAGAGACCCAGTCAGAGTGGTTGAATCATGGGTATCCATCCCAAAGAGAAGTGGAGGCACAGTCATGCCTTGAAAGGGTGCAATCAGGGAACTGGAAAGGGATCTCAAAAGGGACAGCCTAAGCAGGGACTGTAACCAGAAATATCCCCATTTATGTATTTACTTCATTTATTCTACTCATGGAGAAACTCAGATGCAGGAAGTTCAAGTGATTAGCTCAAATGAAAATCCTCAGAGATACACAGAACAAGACCTCTGGAGTTCCCAACTTCCACTTCAATTCATTAGGGCACATACTAATTTAATATTACCTTAAACACTGCACTTCATTTCTGATAAATGTAATAGGATGTCCCATTGGAAAAAAATGCAGAATTAAGAAGGAAAAAAAGGCAAAAAGTTTAAAAGATTTGCTGTAATAGGAATTATGTATAAGGCCACTAATCCACATCCAAAGTTCTTGGAGTGCTATATAATAATTTCATAACAAATTATAAACAAATCTAATAAAAACTGCTCTAATAAAACTAAAGAAAAATGGAGGAGAAAGGAAAACATTCTAATAGTTGGGCGGGGTAACAAGTAATCTATAATTAGGGGTAAGACTACTTACCATTTTTAAAAAACTTTGGGAATAAAAGCAAGTCTTTACTTGGTGTTTAAAGGAAGGGAGTGGAGGAGCTGTGGCAAATGTAAAGAGCAAACACCATAGAACCCACTACAGTTCAAGACAGATTACCTGTCAATATGAGGCCCTGATTCGGGAAAGAATTTAAGCAAAAATACATAAGTATGTGTTTATGTCCATTAACTTCAATGGGACTGAAGCACGTGCTTAAAAGTTAAAGTGTTTTCCTGAACTGGGACCTAACACATGATCATGCCATCAGCTCTAGGTGCAGGCTCAAAGGGGAGATCAAACTTAACTGGGCCTACAGTGTCAAAAGTATGGTCCTGCTCTGATAAGCAACTCAATAAAATGGCTTTGTGGGGAGATCTATGTTTATTGTCTCTACCTGACACCCAGGTCAAACATGATCAGCTTACAAATAAAAATTACTAGCTTTGCAAAGTCAACATGGGATCTGAAAGCTAAACTCATCACCAGTGTAACCTCACTGTCTTCAGACTACACTTTCAGTAACACTTGTGCAACCTCCTAATGTCAATGGAATTACAAAGGTCTGACTGATTAGCCAGGTAGTTGGAATTTAGAAAACAATTTTGTTAAGATGCACAAACTGGAAACAGAATCCAGCTCAGACTCTCACAGCTGTGTGGAGTCTGCAGGAGCAACAGCAGTAAAAACGTATTATTGTCACTAAAGTGAGCTGATATACTCAATATACCATCGAGAAGGGATAAAGATAAGTAAAGAGATGCCATTTTAGATAGTCATTTTTCAGAGTAGAAATTCACATTAAAGGCTCTAACAGTGACAGTTTAAAATTCATCCACAACATTGCAGGCAGTCAGTGTATAAAGAAAGAATGCAGGGTGAGAGTATTACAATGATGGCTTCTTAAATCACTAAGGAAACACGCTGCAGCATTCTGTACTAGTAAGCTGTGACAAAAGCCCACTGCTGGAAATCATAGCAGGACGGAATTATAATAATGGAGCCCCACAGCCGCCAGGACATGTTGCTGTTGTAACGTCATAATGGGATAAATTGGGGTGCAGCATAAGAAACTGGGAAAGTAAATAAATGTCTCTTACCCATGCCCAAAACATAGTTTGTTAGAGTAAAGCTGCCATGTAGAAGTAGTGAAGTATCCAGAAAGAGTTACTCCCCCCCACCCCACAACAAGAAACTTTTTTGATTTAACACAAATAATATTATTTCTAAAGCTACTCATTACGTGACTGTAGAATTTCAACCAGAACCTTCCTCAGTTCCCTCCTGCCTGGCTTTCTGCTACATACAATCTCTTAGGGCATGATCAAAAAAGACTACCTGTTTTAAAAACCCCAAACAAGACCCCGCTAAGTGGGAATACTAGAGAGAGGATGGTCTCACATACTGATAACCCTCCACCCCAGCAAGACTTCAAACTTCCCAGGGTTGAGAACAGAAAATACTATAATTCGAGTGCATCCAACTGGAACTGACTATTGTCAAGTAGTTCGCTAAGCCAAGACAGTGGGTCTATGGGCAAGAGATGATATTCAATTGTGTATCATCAATATACTGGTGATGTTCTATCCTGTGTTTAGAAATAACACCCAGGGCTCTCTAAATCATCCTAGTGGCTGCTCTGACCCCAGAAGCAGCCAAGATTTGGAAAAGCGCAAAGATGGCTTAAAGCCACCTTAGCCCCCCCACATCCCGTGAGGCTCCTTAGATGTGCAGCATGGAATCTCACTCCATTTCTTGAGGACAGGGAAAACCTCTGCATAACTGAGGATGGTCAGCATCCTTCTCTCTAAAGGCCTGTCAGCACAGGAAGTTATACTGGTATAATTGTACAGACACAGTTAAACCATTGCAACTCCCCATGAAGACACTCTTATTCCAAAATAAGAGTGGCTCTTCCCATTTTAGCTTAAACTGCTTCTAAAACAACAAAGATAAATGGGAAAAAGGCATACTTGTATAGAATAAAAGTTTCCTCTTGGAGAGTTATACCAGTATAATTGTAACAGTTTAAATTCATACTTACTGTATACTGATACAACTTCCTGTGTAGAAAATCCCTATGCTAATAATTGACAGTGACAGCCAACAGTGGCATCAAGTAACTAGGATGTGGGAGCAACAGAGCTTGCAGGTATTGGGTTTCTGGGAAATCAGAGAAGTACTGACCTTCCTCTTCCAAAACCAAACTGAACTCAACAGGGGAGAGAAAGCCTTTTGAGGTCCCGTCTCTTGTTGTCAAAAGGCTTGGTAAAGGAAACCAGTCAAGAGCTGACCTTTCACAAAGACCACATAAACTCACAGAAGCGATCAGCAGAAGTAACTGCTAATAGAATGGAGGAGAACAGATCAATAAGACGTCACACTATGTAGTCCATCAAACTGTCAGTGTTAAAGACAGTGGATAGATCAAAGATGAAAGGATGGAAAAGAGGCACTTAGCCATGGCCAGGAATAGGTCACTAGTGATCTTGGTAAGAGCAATTTGTAACACCTATTGGCTTTTGGCATAGCACTTCTGTGTGCCTGCATAGACAGAAGATGATCACACTCTTGGTAGCTCTTGGTCAACTCCTCCACAGTTTACTGTACATGCCCAAACTACTTCAACTTCTGATGGCCTGAACCATACTGACCTCCACGTACACAGAAAAGAAAAAAACCCACAGAAATTCAGTTGATCTGAACATTTTCTCTCACCATTTGCACTATCATGGTTTCAAAAAGTTCACAGAAAATATATGTAAAAAGTCAACAGTTAATATAATCTTGCACATTACAAATAGAACAGTGTGAAAATGTCCTGGATTTCATATGGGTGAATTATTATGATGACAAACTGAAGAGAGTACAGAAAAGAACCACAAAAATTATTTGAGGGCTGGAGAAAATGCCTTACTGTGAGAGATACAAAGAACTCAATCTATTTAGCTCATCAAAGACCGCGTGGTAACTTTGTTAAGGAGTGTAAGTACCTTCACATGGAGAAAGCAAAGGGTATCAAACCTAGCAGAGAAAGTCATAATAAGAACCAATTGCTGGACATTAAAGCCAGACAAATTCAGATTAGAAATAAAGCACAATTTTTTAACAGTGCAGGGTGATTAAGCATTAGAACGAAATATCAATTAAGTGATGGTTCTCCAGCATCCTCAAAAATTAAGCCTAAATACATTTCCAGAAGATATACTTGAGTCAAATTCAAGTTATTGGGCCCCACACAGGGGTAACTGGGTGAGGATCTACAGCCTGTGATATACAGGAAGTCAGACTAGGTCATCTCATTGTCCCTCTGGCTTTAAAGTCTAAGAATTCACAAATTAACTACAGCAATTATAAGGAGATGATACTGAGGTCATAATATCAACACAAAAACATGATTCTCATGTGTATGACAAAACACCATTCTTAAGTGTTAGGGAGCTAACAGAAATACAGATGGAAAATGATATTCAAGTTTTACCTAATTAAAATTATTATCTATTTAGACTAAGGTAATTAATGCGAGGAAAATACTACTTTCATCAAGCAACTGAGGGAGACTCTCAGAGGATTAACAAATAATACTCAGAACACAATTATCTTTCACTCTGCATAATGCTACTCAAAAATTCACAGTGCTATTCTTACAACCCGTTTTCTCGGAACTCAGGAGCAAGACAGTAGCATTAAGAGAAAAATCAGCAGAACATCTGTTCTTTATTTGACAGATGAGACTCATGGGGATAAGCTGCAATAAAAATGAAGTTCTTCTGTTCATGCTCTGATAAAAACTAACACAGCCCTCGTGAGTAAAATTGATGTTTCATTGCAGGTAATTGAATTAATGTTTCATGGTTTCTCCTGAAACACCCATCTCCCACTGACAATATGAACATGTACTCCACTTCACACATTAGATGTCTGAATACTGATACAACTTCCTAATAAGTATACTAGTATTACTCTAGGAAGCAATGGTTATTTGATGCACAAACAAGTTTAGTATTGTTGGCCATTCCTATCTGACAGAAATGTTTATCGGCCATGAAATCAGCAAATGCAAACTACCACAAAGTTAGTTTAAGCTTCCTCTCTCTCTTTTTGCAATGAAAACTGAAATAACAAGGATGTTCAACTCTGCACATACCGTTTTAAATAAAGGTCTACATATTTATTTTTAAATACTGTGGTTCTGATATGCAACCCTCCATTATTTTAAGAGCAGAATTTGTGGAAGTACAAATTCAGCACAAGTTTCTGTAGATGAAGCAGAGACTTCTTAGAAAAATAAATGAAAGCATGTAATTTTCTCTAACATAGCAGACTCTCTGGCTTGTCCACCCCCAAATAATTAAACTAGCCCATTTCTGTTCAGGTATGGCAATAGGGAGCTACAGCACATGGTACAACCCCATTCTAAAGGTAATTCCTAATCACAAACAATTAATTAATTAACAATACAAGTAAAACAAAATTCTAAGTTTCATTCTTTATTATAATTAAACTTTAAACGTAATGGTCATAAAAATTCCCAGCCCTAGAGTCTGAAATCCTCTCAAAAAGAGGCTCAGCACAGGCAGCAGAAACAGAAGCTTCCCACATTAACCCTTCTTTGTGCTCTAACCCTGATTTAAAAGGAACCACCTACACAGACCAAGTTCAGTCTCCATGCCCATTCATAGATTCATAGATTTTAGGACTGGAAGGGACCTCGAGAGGTCATCGAGTCCAGTCCCCTGCCCGCATGGCAGGACCAAATACTGTCTAGACCATCCCTGATAGACATTTATCTAACCTACTCTTAAATATCTCCAGAGAAGGAGATTCCACAACCTCCCTAGGCAATTTATTCCAGTGTTTAACCACCCTGACAGTTAGGAACCTTTTCCTAATGTCCAACCTAGACCTCCCTTGCTGCAGTTTAAACCCATTGCTTCTTGTTCTATCCTTAGAGGCTAAGGTGAACAAGTTTTCTCCCTCCTCCTTATGACACCCTTTTAAATACCTGAAAACTGCTATCATGTCCCTT